GGACAATGAAATGGAAACTTGGGCTTATAGGGACACGTGGATAATGATTGTCATTAATTCAGGTAGTGTTTCTTGGTGATTGAAGACTACTGTCACAGGGGCTTATGCGGGTTTAACATCTTACTTTTGGGGATCGTAACAAGAGTAGTGAGTTTTTTGCGTGCTTGAACAAAGGATGTGACTTACCCTCATGGAAGGGCCATCGCGCACGCGCACAGACACACACACACACACACACACACACCCACACACACATTGTATAGATACTAATCAGTTGGAGATTTCTGACATAGCCGGCCCTTGCGGACTCTCAGGTTATACGGGAATAACAGCGGGATTTTGATATGTTGGGGTCACTGACACAAATTCCATGCCAGAGAGTTTAGGAAACTATTGTCTGTTTGTGGCTGACGGCATTCATTCCTTAAACTTTATAGACCCTGCGAGCAGACAACAATAGGCATCATCCCAATCTGTAAGTTGCGTGGAGGGGCCTAACCTCATGCTGAACAGCTTCATGCTGTTCGTACTTTTTCTGCAAGTGCATATCCACGTTTTGCAGAGATTTTGCGTATGCTAAGGTTTATAATGGATGAGGAGTTGTGTCGCGTTCACGTATTAAACGTATAGGTTTAGCTAGGGGTCAAATTAAGGCGCAAGGCTTTCGCGGATTGTAACTGCTGCTTGCTTATTGTGATCTCTTAACTTTAACTATTAACAGGGCTTGCAGCGGATGTTATGGTTGCACTATGGGGCCTGTGCCAGCTAGTGTCTGGGTGCATTTGGGGCTCGTTGATGGGACGAATTGCCCGAGGCTCTAGGAGGCATTTTCTTTATGGTTGCGGGTCTGTGATGACTTTCAAAGTTGTGGGGGCCCCATGTTTGTATCAGGCACGCTCCGAACCCTAAACCCTAGCTCCAAAATCAGAAAAGCCGCGCGTGTTTCTTGGGCGGGCGCAGCGTTCGAACCCCTGCATGTTCTTGTAGACCTCTAAACCAGAAAGCCCTAAACTCTGAACCCTAAACTCTAAACACTGCCCTAATCCTTAAACAGTAATAACTCTAAACCTAAATTCCTTAAACCCTAAACCCTAAACCCTACCACAAAGCCAGAGGGGCCTCTGCTGCGCGGCTCGAGTTGCGGACTCCTCGGCAAACTCTGCGGCAACCACGTGGGCGCGGGCTTCTCGAACCTGGCTTGGCTTTGTGCCTCATTTAAGGTTTAGGAATTAGGGTTCGGGGTTTAGGGTTTAGGGTTCGGGGTTTAGTGTTGAGGGTTAAGGGTTCAGGTTCTAGGTCTCAGGGTTTAGGGCTCAGAGTTTAGGGTTTAGGGTTAAGGATTTAGGGTTTGGGAAGATTTAAGGTCGGGGGCTTAGCTCATGGCTACACTGCTAGACTCGCCTGCCAAACATAGAGTGACCAGCGTAGGCTTCGGGTTGGGGTGTAGGCATACACTCTGACCTGTTGGTAGATATAACAGTCATAGCGTCTAGGGGCGTAGTGTTTAGGGATATAGAGGGTTATATAAAGGCTTAGAAGAATGGAACCAGAAGGAAATGAAAATGGAACATGAAATGGAAACTGGGGTTTTGTATGAAGCGAAGCCTAAGTAATTACGAAGAACGTTCTGAGGTCTACTCAAAGTACCCTATACTGAATTGTTTCAAGAAATGTAGGACTATATTCCTGGCAATGATTCACTAAACATTGTAACCTGAACCCTAAAGCCTACATACGGTGTATTATTTTTGGCCCCTTACTGATCCTAAACCCTAAACCCTATAAAGCCCCTAAAACTCCTCAAGGCCAATTCTGCCGTTCCCTTTAGTACCTGAACCCTTAAAGTAGGTAAAATAATAGCCCAACACACCTAAAAGCAGCCCAAAAGGTCATTATTCTACAAACCCTAAAACCCCAAATTCTTCCGTTCCCTTTAGTAGTCATAAGCTTTATTTGAGCCGCTTTCATAGGACTGCTAGGCCAGGTTGGCGGATGCAGATGGATTTAGGGTTCGTAGTTTAGGGTTGAGGGTTTGGGGTTCATAGGTTAGGGTTTAGGGTCTAAGGATTAGGGTTTAGGGTTTGGGATTTAGGGTTTGGGGTTCAGGATTTGGGGTTAGGGTGTAAGGATTAGGGTTTAGGGTTTAGGGTTTGGGGTTTCGGGTTTAAGGATTACGGTTTAAGGTTTAAGGATTAGGGTTTAGGGTGTAAGGACTAAGGTTTAGGGTTCAGAGTCTTAGGGTTAGGAACAAGCCCTAAACTCGGAATCGGACCCTCAGCATTAAAGGACCACAAAGCGCAAAGTAAGGACACAAAGACCCCTAAAAGCAGCTAAAAGGGAGCCGCTCTCAAACCCAAACCCTCTGAACCCCAGATAACACCAAACCCTATTCGAAGCTTCGTGGGGCTTACTAAATACCTGTAACTGGGCCTATAGCCCTATTTGTTTCCTCCCTACTTAGGGGAAGCTTAATATTGAACCCAAAATACTATAGTCCTGATTATGGGGAACCCCAACAGTTACCCATACCTTTGGGCAAAAATCACGTATGCATATCTCGAAGACATGCTTATGATCTCTGAGCCTCTGACACCAGAACCGTGCCCTCAAAATGAGGACCCTACAGGTTTAGGGTTTAGGATTAAGGGTTTAGGGTTTAAATTTAGGGCTTCAGGCCCTATAACTATCCAATTACTTCCTTCTAGCTTCCTTTTTCCAGGGCTTGCGTCTAGCAAAACCCTTTTGCTAGAAACCCTGCGTTGTATGTATAATTCCACTCTATAGAATCCCAACACCTAACATCCTAGACCCCAAGCCGTAAGGGTGCTTGGGGAGATCCCGACAAATCCACAAGCCGGCAAGATCCCAAGAGAACCCTGGTAAAAAAGCAGCAAGTGAGCATACCAAGACACTCCTAATACCCATAATTCAGGACATATAGGCCCTAATCTACTACGTGGTTATTGGGGCCCTAGTAGATGACAGGTGCAGCCGGGCGCAGGGGTCTGGGTAAATCGCAGGAATTGACAAAATTAACTTGCAGGAACTTTCAGCCTGAGACATAAAATCTCTATCTACATGGAGGCTAAGTAAGCCTAATTTGGCGCTCAAGAGCCCCAAGGTCTAAACCACAAGACCTAAGCTCTAAACCCTAAACCCAAAGCCCTGATCCTAAACCCTAAACCCCAAACCCTAAACTTCCCAAAACCTAAACCCTAAACCCCAAAACCTATACCCTCAACCCCAAGCCCTAAACCTTGGGGCCTCCCCCTCCAGCGCAAGGGTTTCCTCGGCCGCGGCAGCCTCGGCAGAGGCGAGGCGCACGTGCTCGGACTCGCGGGAGGCTTCCTGCCAGAGGGCTGCGAAGGGTTTTAAGGGTTTTAAGGGTTTAGGGATTTGGGGTTTTAGGGTTTAGGATTTAGGGTTTAGGGTTAAGAGGTTTAGGGCTTAGGGTTTGGGCTTTGGGCTTCGGGTCTAGGGTTCTGGGGTCAACAATGAAAAAACAAAACTAGTAACTAGTAGTAATGGTTTTAAAGAAATTGGTGTGTGCTAGGGTGTAATAAGACGTTAAGAATGTTGTGAGTAAACGATTAATTATGAAGTATGAATGATAAGATTGGGATATGTGGTTTAAACGGCACTGGAACAACTAGGTAGGCGCATTAGAGAACGTATCTATGGTTAAATGGTGACCAAAAGAGATGATATGAGATATTACCTGGCAACAACTTTGGTTGTTACACACCTACAGATGTTGGGACTTAGACTTTAAGATTGGGATGGGTTTTGGGGTGTAATATTTGGGGGGCTTCCTAAAATTAGGGTTACATTTTGAGGGGTCCTCAGAATGAGGATTACCGTATATTGGGGTCCCCTGTGGTCCCCTTAAACCCGAAACCCTTGTGCAACTATCACTTCGGTTTAGAGGTTGAACTTTTGGGTGTTTTGCGTTGGGGGCTTGGGGTTTATGAGGTTGAGGGTTGGGAAAAGCTAGTAGAGGTATTGGGATTTAGGATGCTGCGGAGGTTCTGGGATCTACCGTAAACCCTAAATCCTACACCCTAAACCTTAAACCCTGAAACCCTAGAGTGAAACTTCATAACCCTAAATCCTAAACTGCTACACCCCAAACCCTAAACTCTAAAGAGGGTCCGCCTCGGAGGACGCTGCTTCCGTGGCGAAGCGGCGCTGCAGCGTGGCGACCTGCTGTGGTGTTTAAGGTTTTAGGAGTTAGGGTTATAGAGTTGCAATTAGGCCTTAGGGTTTAGGATTTAGGGGTCGGGGTGTAGGGGCTTGAGGGTTCGCACGGTGGGGTTCCAGGCTTTGGAGTTAGGGCTTTGAGGAGCCAGCGTCTTAGGACTCATGTGTTAAGAATTAATGATTAGGGATTAAGGCTGCGCAGTCCTATAGCCTAGGGTTTGGGGTTTTAGGGGTTCAAGTACCAGAGTTAAGGGTGTAGGGTTCAGAGATTTGGGGGAATTGTGTCTAGGCAATGGGGCTTTTGGTAACACGAATTGGAGGGTGCAGGTCTTCAGGGCTTCAGGACGTTTTCAAGTAGCTGCCTCAGTAGTGTGCAGGTCAGAGAAGTTGAGAATAGTGTTCGCATAGTCATTATTGGGGCATTATAAACCCTAAACCCTTGCCCTGGAAGCTTCCGACTCACCCATTGGGTCCTGATAATGAAATCAAATGGAAAAGAAAATGGACAAATAACTGGAAACTGTGATTTCTATTGGGAAAATAGGGGTAGTATTGGGGTCATATTGGGAGATTGGAAAAGAAAATGGAAACTGCTAGTTAGGGTTTAGGGTTATACAGGGGTATATATAGGGTTTAATATAGGGTATATAATTAGATTGGGACAAACATCAGAAGCTCCAGCCCCCAAAAAACAAATATGGATCAGTGAGCTCTTACTACGGGAGTAGAGGTTACTCCATACTCCTATTCCGTAAAAAATGAACACCCCGTAGCGTGAACAAAACCATGGTCCCCACAGCGCAAACGGTCTGATGTAGGGCGCATCTCATAGGGGGGAGTGTGGAAGAGGGAGGGGAACTAATTCAGAGAACCCAAAGCCCTAAAGCCTACAGCGTGAAAAGCCTCGGGTTGAACTGCGCTCGGCTGGGGGAGGCCCGGACCAGCACGGAAAGTTTGCAGGTTTAGAGGGGGCCGAAGCGTAAACCCTAACCCCTACTTGCAGGGTCAGGGGGCTTAGTAAGTATACTCAGGATGCTCGCAGCCCCGATAAGCCATGTAATAACCCCAGCTATCTTCCGTATAACCTATATACTTTCTGCGTCCCTTGACCATCCAAGTATCCCGTAAACTCAAAGCCCTACACCCTCAGCCCTGTAGCCCCACATCCACATCTACAAGCGCTGAATCCAGGAAGTTCACTGAAGGCTGGGCTTATGTGTTTTCAACTACGCTATGCCTTGGGAAGCATATTCTAGCATTCTTAGGTCATGCAGGATTTTTAGTTAATAGCCACGGTATGGCGAAAACATGATTCAAATGCGCGTTACTTCTTCGAATGCTCGGCCAATAGGATCCACCAAAATGTGTAGGGTTTCCCTTTCAAGTTCAGTGTCGCGCCACTTCCGTCAGAAACATGTAATATAAAATGTAGCCACAGCTTGCCATATAATTCCTGTTACGCCATAGATGCCCTAACTGAGTGCGACCCCTGCTACGTCTCGTATCACAATCCCATTCTGAAGGCGGTCATAATCATGAACTTTGCTTGGGTCCCGCATATGATCAAGCCATAGTATTAAGGGAGTAAAACGGGGAACCCCAAGCAGGGAACGCCAAGAATATGGCAGGAATATACTACAAATACAAGGACCATGGGAGGTTCGTTCCTAGTATGTTTCTACTACATTCTTAGGCTTCCCTGTCCTTGGGGGTTCCCACTACAATCCTTTTATAGTAAGCCTAAAGGACCTGGATCTTCGCAAGCTGTCCCCGTATACAAACATTCCTGCCGTGTCCTCGACTAGTGCAATGCTCCCTTAGATGCATACATGAACCGTAGAAAATATTCAATAATAGCCTTGTTTGATGTTTCGTTTTACCTACTTTTGGGGTCCAGGTAATAGGAATGAGAGTTTGATAGTTTCTTCGTGTCACACGAAGCTCAAGCTCAAAAAGCCATTTTTGAGCAAGCTCCGGTGCAATTTCCTACTAGGGACAGATCATGATTTAGGGATTTCCCAAAATTAGGGGTACCATTTTAGGGGTCCCAATAAGAAGGATTATAGTATTTTGGCGTCTATATTGGGGTCACCCTATTTTGGGAAACTACCATTTGAACGTTTCAGGGGCAGTTGGGCAAGAACAGGGTGAGTTTGCAACACAAGGTTTAGATCAGGTTTGCATAGGGCATGCGGGAGGCTGTACAAATTTGCACATGCCTTAGACCCAAAAAAACTTCAGCTCGATTTTAGGGACCTATCTTCTCACAGTACCCTTCACCTGAAGAAGCTGCATCAACAACATTCAGCCAAATACCCTCAACCTCCAGTAACACTACACGCTAAACCCTCAATTAACCTAAATGACCCTAAACCCTAAACCCTCAACAACCCTAAATGACCCCCAACCCTAAAACCTCAACAACCCTAAATCCTAAACCACAACAGTGCACCTCACTCAGCAGGGACTGGAGCTGATATCGGAGTGGACCAGTCGCATCCTGGCAGCATCCAATTGCTTGAGGTTTCGGTTGTCGGGTCTAGGGTTTTAAGCGATGCGTTACGATACCTTCTACTACACCTCCACACCGTCTCACCAACAGCAAATCCTAAACAAAGCCTAATCACAGCAGTGTTCGGCGTCGTTTCGGAGAGGGGGTAGCATCGTAGAAAAGAGGGGGGGTTGGAGCAGAGGCTTTCATACCCTAAGGGTCCAAGGACCCAAATAATAGGGTTCTGGGGCCCAAATGCTATAATATCACTGGTATTTGGGCCCTAAAACCATATTATTTGGGCCCTTGGACCCTTAGGGATACTTTGAGGACTTGGGCTTTAGGACCACGCAGTCCTCTGGAAAGTCGGCTACATGGATGTCCCCTTTGCTTGAAAAGCTCGGCAAACATTTGTAGTCCCCCTTAAGTAGATTGAATATGGTATATCATAATAAGATTCCCATATACTCCATATTCTATCTACGTAAGGGGGCTATAGCCTCAAACGGCCTAGAATGAACAATTTGGGAGCAGCAATCCAGAAGAAGAAGCCCTACCCCCTCAAAAACAAACATGCAAGCTGATATGGTGCCCCTCTCAGAGGACGGTAATCTATATGGTGCCCTTTAGTTTGGATTAGTGTAAGCTCTTCTCCGCAACCCATAGCCCATGTCAATTTCGCCAAACCCCTCACCCTAAGCCCTCAGACCTAAACTCTGAACCCTAAAGCCTAAACCCTCATCGCCAAAATCATAGACCCCTAATGGTCCAAGTACCTAATAATCACATACTTACCCAAAACCAGTACTACATGATACTAAAATTACTATAACCCTAAACCCAAGTACCTAATTATTGGGTGCTTGGACCCTCTGGGGACTATGAACAAGACACCTGCAACCCCCTAAACCCTAAACCCCCAAATCCTTGCCGGGTCCTCAACGGCCGCGGCAATGGCTGCAGCATCAGGCGGCTTCTGCGCCTGCCTTCGGAGGCTGGAGGCTCAAAATAGCCCAAAATCCTTTCATAGTATGGTCTGTGGGCCCAAAAGCCTTAAAATATGAGTCCTTAGAGCCTTATTCGGATAGCAGGGAAGTAAGGACTGGAAGACCATGGAAACTACTGTTCACAGTTCAGGGTTTGGGGTTTGAACGCTGTGTTTAGGGTGTAGGTCTCAGGATTTTGCTTCTGGGCGTTCCTTTCTGGCTGTTCGTAAGGAATGTAGAAATGTAAAAATAAACCCTAAACCCTAAACCGAAACCTTCAGTAAGGATTCCTTGCTCCCTTCCCTTCTAGCAACTAGCGACGGTTTAACCTTAGGTGGACCCCCCACCCTGTAGTAGCGGCATAGTAAGAATATAAGAGGACCCTAATATAATCACACCATTATCCTTGACACTCACAACTCTGGGTGGGGGTCCACCTAAGTTAAACCTCTGTTCCTGCCAGGATTTTTAAGGCGCAACCTTCTTGACTTGTAAGGCTTCCTGATTAGGGGGGTGGGGCTCCCAAAATTAGGGATACCATTGCGGGGGTTCCCATGATAAGGATGATCGTATTTTGGGGTCTGTATTGGGGTCCCTTATTTTGGATAACTACCATATCTAGGTCTGGGCCTAGGGTGCCGCTGCTGCCCCCCCTTGTACATTCAAAATACCCTAAACCCTGAACTATGGTTCCTAAGCTTTAACCCTCGTGGCGACGGCTGTTTGGGCATGTAGTCTTGAGTTCAGAACAGGGCGCCAGCTTTTAAATATACACATTTCCAGAAGATGCTCTTAATTAGTATTGAAACACGATGACCTAGTTTGTATGTAGGCGTGTCCCGCCTAAACCCTAAAACCGAACCCCAAGCATCCAACACCCTACACCATGCCACAAAACAACAACTCAAGAAAGACCACCCAACAAATCAACAAAAACCTAAACCGTATAGACACGTAAAGACCCTATTCCTCAGACCAAGCCCGCAAAGCAAACCCTAACCCCAACAGTATAGGGTTTAGCGTTTAAGGCTTCAGGCGGTTTAGGGTTTGCCTAGACCATTTTCCTGAAAACAACAACCCTCAACCAAACACCTCAAATCCCAAACACACAAACCAAAACACTCCCAAAGCTTTGACAACTTGCTTGTAGGGTTCAGGGTTTAGGGTATCACAGGACTAGACCTTGCATTCAACAATGATGCTATCTATATTACGCCCCTAGAATCCTATAGCGACCCGGAAACCGAATAACCAGCCTCTAAAACGCTAGAAAGCCCCCTAAACCCCAAATCCCAAGCCCTAAACAGTCAACACTATCACTAAACCCTAGACGATGAATCCTAAACCCTAAATCATTAATCCTAAGCCCTAAAACCTACTCCCTAAACCCTAAACCCGAAATCCTAAACCCTAATCCCTATAGCCCAAAACCCTCAAACCTATGTAAGCTCTACGAGCCGCTGGCCTTAGCTCCTCCGACAGCTGCGCAGCAGCCGCACGATGGCGCTCCGAAGCTTCCGCAGCTTGCTGGAGGAGCTCCTAGCATCTCTGCTTCAGGTCGTATGAGCTTGGGTTTAAGGTTGAGGGGTATAGGGCTCAGGGTTTAAGGTTTAGTGTTTGGAGCATCTTCATGTGAGCAATAGTCTAAACTCCTTCAAGGGGGATATATAGCGGATGATAGAGGAGAGTAGTATCGGGGTTATTAAGGGGGAAACTAGGATTTTAGATTATGGCTCGTGCAATGATCACACAGGGGTTATGGAGGGTCATGGGGTTTTTGGTTTACGTTGGAGGAAATATTGGAAGAAAATATGGAAACTACCACAAGAACGCTCGAGCGGCCTGTAAATGCGCGCCGTCA